GGCGACGAGAGCGCCCCAGGGGGCGCAAAAGGATAAAGACAATGCTGCAAAGCGTCACTTCTCGGCCCCTATTCTTCTGGCGGCCTGGAGGAGCTCCTTTGCGACCCCCGATCCATCCAAGGCTTCGATCAGCGGTCGGCCCTCGATCACCTCGATCGACAAAAGGGCAAAGATCCTGGATCCCCTACCCCCCCCTTGAACATCCGATGTTTTGATCCGCCCAACACGCCCGACCCTGTTGCCAGGGCCCCCAGGGGCAGCTGACCATCCAGAGTCGTTTTCTTGACCGTCCAGAAGCCGAAAACAGCATCCAGAGGCCGCAGACTGTTTGAATGTATGCCAGTAAGTTGTTGCACTGTAGATAAGCCAATGTGATGTAAGCGATAAGCGGCAGGCAGCAACGTGGCGAATCCTCGGCGGCACACCCACGCAGAGCAGGACGCAGCAACGAGGCGGCATCGGGCGGCAACGTGGCGAATCCTCGGCACCCTGATTGGCGGCAACGGGTGGCAACGTGGTGAATCCTCGGCATACCCATACAGGCGGCACTTCCACAGGTGGTAACGGGCGGCAGCTTGGCGAATCCTCGGGACACTCACGCAGCGCACAAGGGCACAAGGCGGCAACAAAGCGGCAACGGCGCGGCAACAAGGCGGCAATGGGCGGCGTGGCGAAACCTCGACGACCTCCCGCGCACGGTGGGCGCCAACGTGGTGGCAGCAGGCCGCAAGGAGGCGAAACTTCGGCGGACCCTTCAAGCGCGGCGGGTGGCAACGACGCGGCAACCTGGCCGAAACCTCGACGGATCCCCCAAGCACGGTGGGCGGCAACAAGGCGGCAACGGGCGGCAACGTGGCAAAACCTCGGCGGACCCATCAAGCGCGGTAGGCGGCAAAGAGGCGACGACGGGCAGCCGCGTGGCGAAACCTTGGCGGACACCCCGAGCTCGGTGGACGACAGCGCGGCGGTAACGTGCTGGAGCGTGGCGAAACCAGTGGGCGGCAGTGAAACGGCAACGGGCGGGAACGTGGTGAGACCAACACGTTGATCGCCTGGACCCCTGTCCTCCACTCGTTCGAACTTCCATGCGCAACAGCGCTCACCGAGGCCCGCGCCGCCACCAGGGCAAGTCCTTCGCTGCAGGAACAAATGCAGGGAGCTCGCCGTGCACGGGTGGGGGGGCGGGGGGCGAAGGGCGGAGAACGAACTCCGCGAGCACCCGGCCCACGGGGCAGAGATGTCTCGGGCCCCTGTCCTGCCCCCCCCCTGTCCGCCCAAAGAAAACCATCTGGCACGCGAACGCCGCCAGCCTTCGTTGGCTGCTTCGTCGGCGCGGACGCGACGAGGCCCGGGTCCGCCGGCTGGCCGTCGGCGACCGAAGGAGGGGGCAGATGGACGGGATGATGATGATGGCGATGATGAGGACGCTGATGATGATGACGATGATGATGAGGATGACGATGCTGCTGATGATGCTGATGGTGCTGCTCCTGATGAAGAAAATACAAATTGGTGATGAAGATGAAGATGACGATGACGATGACGATGGCGATGATGATGATGATGATGATGATGATGATGATGATGATGATGATGAGGAGGAGGAGGAGGAGGAGGAGGAGGAGGAGGAGGAGGAGGATGATGATGCTGATGATGATGATGATGATGATCGGACGTAGCTTGCGCGCCAGGTGCCCTTCGCTGCCGCCGACCGCCGGGAGAAGATTGGCGGCGGCGGCAGCAGTCTTCGGAGGAGGTAGTTTTGGATGCCGCCGTCGCCTTCTGAAGGGACCCGCAGTGACTGGGCGCTGGACGGCGGTCACTGGGCGGTCGACTGGGCGCTGGACCGCGTCGATCGCGCTGGCCGCCAGCAGGCGGCCCCCCTGCGTCGCCTGGAGGGGGAGCTTGGCCATCGCCAGCCAGATGTCGTGGATGTTGCGGCCCTTGCTGGCCATAACCAGACGCTCCGCAATCGGAGATGGAGTCTAGGGCTCCCAACTTCGCGCTCTCGCGCCGCGCGAAGCGCGAGAGCGCGAATGACTTCGCGCTCTCGCGCCGCCCTCCCAAAGGGAGAATAGGAGGACGAGGAGGAGGGGGAGAAGGAACGAGGACCGCGAAGCGCGAAGCGCGAATAACTTCGCGCCCTCGAGGGAGCCCTTGTGAAGTAGTCGTGGAAGACGCCGCAGGTGGCAGCGAGGGAGAGCTGTTGAAGTGACCGCCGTAGCGGCCGTCGTAGTTGTCGAGGGTCGACTCGTGACCTTGCAACTGCAAGACGCGCTGCTCGATGGAGTCGACATGGTGCTGAATCTTGTCGCTCTCGAGTTCGAAGTCCTGCATCCGCTGGTCGAGCATGTCCATGCTATCGCCGCGCATGTTGTTGACCTTCAGCTGCAACTCGTTGGCGCGCGACTCCTTGGAGGAGTGCGCCTGCTTGGCGGAGGACGCGAGCTCGACGCGCATGTTGTTGATATCCGCTGCCACCTGCGTCAGGAAGGTCTCCAGGATAGGCAAGACGCCATCGAACTTGCCAATCTCTCGCGAAGACCGCTTGATGAAAGAAGAAATCCCGGCGCGCATGATAATGACGATGATGGTGAGGAGGAACAGGAGGACGAGGAGGAGGAGGACCAGTGTAAACCCAAGAGTCATCAACGATGTTAACTTGACCCCCCCTCCAGGCTCCCTCTTCGCAGGCCCCTACAACGGTTCATTTCCATTGAGGGAACTGCCCCGTTGGAAAACAACCGCTTGAAGATCCTGAAGCGTGCCCAAACACGGCTCTCGGGATGTCAGTGCCACGTATCAGACTGACTGCTGACTGTTGACGATCCGAAACGTGCCAGTACACAATATGTGGGACTTCGACGCCGCGAATCAACATGACTGTTGCGCCCGCTTAATCATGAAACCTTCCAAAACACCATTTCTGGTACGTCGACCATGGGAAGAAACTCTTGCAAATATTTAAAACAAATGCGCGCGGCGCTCAGGCGACAACCACATTTTGAAAAGGAACCGCTTTCAATCCGTGAACCTCTTGCAACATTTGAAAACGAGTATGCGCGGCGCCCAGGCGAAAACCACATTTCGAAAACGGCCCGCCCTCAATCCGTGAAGCTCTTCGATTTGTTTCAAAACGAATGTGCGCGGCGCCAAGGCGAGAGCCACATGTTGAAAGCGACCCGCCCTCCATCTGTGAAGCTGTTGCCACTTCTTAAGTTTCAGAATCATAAATGGTGCGGACGTCTCAGGCGAAACGCCCGGCCCGCCCTAAAACCTGGCCTCGGGGTGCGACAGGGAGAAGTTATCTACAAGGAGAAGGAATGGATGAGGAGGAGGAGGGGCAGGAGAAGGGGGAGGAGGAGGTAGGAACAACAAGGAGGCATGGAGGAGGAGGAGGACTGGACTGGACTGGAACTCTGGGAAACCAAAGTGATCACACAACGCAACGAGACTGCCGGCGCCGACTCGTGACCGAAACCGTGCTGGATTCTGCGACGCACAGTGTGCCACTACCTGACACTCTGCCCAGCGCCGCACTCTGCAGCGCAGCGCTGGCCCTGGCCACACACCAGCGCTCGAGCACGCAGCCCCGCTGGGTGGGCTCTCAGGCACGGGACGAGCCCCCCCCCCCGTCTCCGACTCCCCGGCAACCGGCCACGACCACTGGACAACGCCCGCCACCTCCTTCTACTAAAGCATCGCAGACGAGGCGGAAGAACTACGACTTGTACTCTGTTGGCAGCTTTGAGGGGCAGTGCGCAGTGCGTAGTGCGCGCGCTCTCAGAACGAGCTCTCAGGGCTTCCCAAGGTGCACTCTGAGCAACAATGCCTCTCCCCACGAGCTGCTGGAATCTGAAACTGGATTACGTTCGATTCACTTGCTATCGTTCCCGATCAATGACGACACTTCGCGATCCAACGGCCCTCGCGGGGCTGGCCCAGGCAGGTTGACCCCGCCCTCCAAGACCACGAGCTTCTCGATCAGTTCCGCCATCGTCTGGCCCAGCTGCGTGTCTCGATGGAACGTCATGAAGAAGGCCCCACCTCTGCGGACTGCTCCCCCCCTTGCGGGAAATCTTCAGCCGAAAGTGTGAACACGCCCTCGCCACCGCCATCATCTCGCCCCGCCTGATCATCTCGCCATCCCACATCTCGATCGTGCTCTTCTTAGTTCCTCCTGCTCCTGCTGCTGTGGGCCCGCCGCTGGCGTGACCGTCGCGCCGTAGTACGCCGCGCCCAAGTGCGGCGGCCCCCTCCTTCGGAAGTCCACCTTCTCGCCGCTCTTGCTCCGCTCCTTCAGCTCCTTCGGCTCCGAGTCGTACTCGCGTCCCGACTGCTGGCACGCTGCCACCAGCCCGCCTGGCGCCAAGACCTCGTACTTTAGGCGCACGGCGGACGAAAGGTCGGCGAGCTCGCGGGAGATCGTCAAGACGAGCTTGCTCGTCGTCGTCTGCAGCCGCTCCTGATTGCTGCCGCTTGCGGGGGCGCGATCGCCCCGCCGCCCTACTTCGCGCCGCCCTTTTCCTCGGCCTCCGCCCCGCGTTGGGTGGTGATGGTGATGATGGTGATGATGATAATGGCGGTAATGATGACGATGACGATGATGAGGATAGTGATGATGATGCTGATTATGATGATGACGCTGATGGCGATGGTGGTGATGACGACAAGGAGGATGAGGAAGAAGAGGGAGAAGAAACATGCGGGAGAAGGCGGTGGAGGCAAGCAGGAGGGAGGAAGAAGGGGCGACAGGATGACAGGAGGACGATGATGAAGAGGATCTCGGAGGAGGAGGCAGGCAGGGCGGCAGAGGCAGTGGGGACAGATGGAGTGGCGGAGGAGGATCGAGGAGGACGGGGAGGAGGATGGGGAGGAGAGAAGATCAAAGGCTGGCGATAGTGACGTTGATAATGAAAATACTGGTGGCGATGATGATGGTGGTCATGATGGTGATGCTGGTGATGCGAATGCTGGTAAGCATCTTGATGACGATGGTTTCCGCCCTTGCAGGACCCGTGATGCCGTCTGAGTTGCTGACGACCCGAAGGCGAAGTCTATCCCCAGCGAGTGCCAGCCGCAGGCCAACCCGAGGCTCTTCACCGAACAGTTCGGCACGACCAGCTGCGTTAGGATGCCCGGGGAGCGCAGCGCCAGTAGGAAGATCGGCGCGAGCTGCTTCGTGCAGTTGCTCGGCGTTAACATTTGCATCCGACAGATCGGCGTAGTATCTTCATCAAGGAGGACGGCGAAGCCAGCTTGACCAAAATGATCGACACGAGCGCCTTCGTCGAGATGCCATCCACACGATCAACTTCATGTGTAATATCAGCGCGGACAGCGTCAACCGGAGGATCGTCAAGACCAGCTTCGCCTGGAATATCGGCGCAGGCAGCTCCGTCTGGAGGGTCGGCGCGAACTGCTCGGTCCGGGAGATGGGCACGGCAAAGCTTCATCGTGGAGAACGGCATGACCAGCCTCAGGAAGGTCGGCACGAACAGCGCCACCAAGAGGCCCGGCGCGGGCAACTTAGATCGGCTTCCGCACCAACGTCGGCACGAACAGCTGCATCAGGAAGGTCGGCGCAAACAGATCCAGGACGGGCGGCAGCACCAGCTAAGCTTCACCGAAAAGATCGGCACGAGCCGTTTCACCAAGAAGATAGGCATGAACAACTTGGCTGGGAAGAACGGCATGATCACCTTCAGCTTCATCCGAGAGCTGGGAACGGGCAGCTTCATTATGAAGATTGGCACGGACAATGTCATCAAGACGAGCGGCACGAACAGTATCCTCAGGGAGGTCGGCGCGAGCAGCTGCACCAGGAAGATTTGCACGAACAGCTGCATCAGGAAAAGCGGCACGAACAGCTTCACAAAGAAGGTCGGCACGGACAGTGACACCAAGATGCTCTGCACGAACAGCTTTGCCAGGATGAACGGCATAAAAAGGAAGGTCGGCGCGAACACGTACGTCAGGAAGCTTCTTCACGATCGTCGGCCCATCCAGGATGGGCAGGACACTCAAGATCAGCAAAATCAAAAGAAGGTCCATCCACATTCCACTGGAAGGCGGGAGTCGTTATGATTTCGATGAACTTCGGGACATCGGGAAAACTGGTGTGGCGCGCTGCAATGTTGGCGCGCCTGCTTCACATCAAGTCGTCCCGAGCGTCCTGTACGCCGTGGGTCAAGACCACGAAGAACATGCCGACCAGGTCGGGCATCATCGCGGAGGGGTTCACAGGGCCCTCGATCACCAGCATCCTCACCGCCAAGTCTTGGACGACCGCCACGCGAAGGCACAGCGCGATCAGGAGCCGCCGAAAGCCAGATGGCCACCTCACTTGTGTCCGTTCCCTCGTGCTTGTGTCCGCAGTCGACAATGACGTACTCGTCACATAAGCTTTGTGAGGAGTCGAACTGCACCATCTAGATCTTGCGAACCGTCTTAGAAACATGGGAGCCATGGCGCTTGAGCAAAGATTTGATCATGCCGCGGCCTTCAGCTGCAGCAGCAGGGAAGGAGATCTTGACCGCGCACCAGCAACAACTTGCTGACGAACTCAGGCGACACGGGCGAGGACCACCATAGCAAGCTCGAGTGCAGATGCAGCGAGAAAGACTTGAGCCAAAGTGTCTTTGACGGAGATGGTGATGCTGATGACGATGATGATTGTGATGATGATGCTGATGACGATGATGATGACGATGATGATGATGATGGTGGTGATGGTAATGCTGATGCTACTTATAGTACGTGTGTTGTTGGTGCTGCTGGTGATGGTGATGGTGACGCTGATGATGATGAAGATGATTATGATGGTGACTGTGTTGTTGGTGATGCTGATGCTGATGATCCAATACTTATCATGTTGATGATGCTGCTGATGATGCTGATGATGATGCTGATGATGAAGCTGATGATGACGATGATGATGATGATGATGATGATGATGATGTTGATGCTGCTGATGATGATGGTGACGATGATGGTGATGAGAGGGACCAGGCGCAGGAGGAGGAGGCAGATCGAGGACGAGGAGTTGGACGAATGATGATTGAGGACCAAAGACGCTCCCATGAAGAGCGCGGAGGGGTCCCACGCGTCCGACACCATCGCGCACCGGGTGTAGATGCGCTCCTTGCGCCTGCCAGGGTCCGGGGCCGTCTGACCCCAGCCTCGCCCCCACATCCCGAGCCCCGGTCAGGGGAAGGTGCTTTGGGGGAGGGAGAGGTTGCTGGGGAATCGGGAAAAGGGGGAGGACAAGGATGACGAGGAGGATGTATGAGGAGTGTGATGATGAGGAGAGGATGAGGAGAGGGATAAGGATGAGGATGAGGATGGGGAGGGGGAGCAGGAGGAGCAGGAGAAGGAGGAGGGGGAAGAGAGGGACCAGGACACGTATGATTAGGATTGTGGTGACGACGATGCAGACGATGATGATGCTGATGCTGATGCTGCTGTTGATGATGATGATGATGATGATGATGATGATGACGATGATGATGATGATGATGATGATGATGATGATGATGATGAGGATGATGATGATGATGATGATGATGAGGATGATGATGATGATGATGCTGATGCTGACGTTGTCGACGACGCTAACGAGGATGGTGAGAGTCCTGATGGCCGCGCAAGCCCACGCGCGACCAGTTGTGAGCGTTGCTCCTGCGCTAGTTGTGTCGGGAGGCGGGCCCCCCGCGGCGCCCGCCGCCTTCCGACCGCGGAGCGGCAGAACGTGACCATGCGCCCCTCCCCCCCCGCGCGACGGGGACGCACCGACGCACCCACGCGACGCGCTCCGAACGCGCTCCCACCGAGACACACACACACAAACTCGTGGCGCCGCAGCGCAGCAGCACGCTGCACCGACCATTATGCTTCTGCCCCGCCAGCTGGCGATGCTCGCCATCGCGTCGCGAGCACTGCTCTGCCTCACCAGCCAAGGTTCTGAGCACATGGCTTGGTAGGCCTACAGAGATGCCGAGACGCTTCGCTGCTTGATTGAGGCGGGGGCCTGCCTCTCGGCCCCCCGCCCCCGAGGGCCGCGACCTCGGCCCGCCTGGCCCGCGCTGCCCGCCGGTGGGGCCACGGGGGGCCCGCCCCGAGCCGAATGGCGAGTGCACGCTGCCCGGGCGCACGCTGACACGACGGAACAGGGACAAGGGGATCTGGCTCGCGGGCGCCAGCGCCAGATCCCCCTGTTCCGAGTGGCGAGTGCACATTGCTCGGGCGCACGCTGACACGCATCGGGGAAGGTACCACCCCGAAGCCGAGGCCAGCGCCGTCCGATCTGACGACGCATCGCGCCGATTCTGCACGGGAGCGAGGCCCGCGGCTAATGCGCGCGTGTCAATCCATGCTTGCGCTTCTTCGAACTGCGGTGTCAGGGCGAACCGCGCCCCGGAGGGCCGCCCACGGACACGCGGGCCCGTTAATCTACGCGCCTCGATCCATGCTTGCGCTTTCTCGGTCTGCGGTCTGGGCGAGGCGCGCCCCCGAGGCCGCCCAGGGATACGCGAGCCCGTCGCTAATCCACCCTCTTCCTCGAGCTGCGGTGTCTGGGCGATGCGCAGCCCCGAGGCCGCCCAGTGACCCATTGACACGCGGCCACCCGCGGGGAGGGCGACGCGCCGATGGGACCCGGCGATGGGCCATAGAGCAAAGTTGGGGAAATCGGCCTGCACGGCGAAGTGCCGCGGGGAGCAGTTGCAGGCCGATGTGCCGCGGGGAGGGGGCGGTGATACTGCCCGCTGGGATGGCTGCGGGGGTTGCTAAGGAGAACAGGGGGTTACGAGTGGTTTCTGGGGTAGGTCATATCTGGCGTACACTAAGTAGCACATGGGCTGCAAGTGCCCTAATCGGTGTGGGTGGGTTCGATAGTGCCGCAAAGTGGGCGCAGCCCGCTTAGTCCAGATATTCAACCACTAGGGCGCTTCTAGCCCACTAGCTGTGAAGGCATTGAATAAGGAACCGTTGGATAAGGAGTCGGGGTCTGGAAACCAGTGGAACACCAATTGAGGCTTGGCCAAAGAGGTCCTCCAGGGTCAGGCCTCATTGGCACATGCCCTAACGAGCGCTACCACAGCATAAGCTATATTACGTCAGATATTGCCCACCTCAGCATGCACTTGTAATCCCTCTATCCCCTTAGCACCCCCGCGGTCATCCCAGCAAGGAGGAGGAGCATGGCGGTCAAACGTACTGTCAGAACATTTGTTGAGCGTGTCGCTGCGACGCCCCCTGCGACACGCTACGCCCTGCAAGCTGATAGCGTGTCGCTCTGCTTTGCGGGACTGGGGGCTGGCAAAGTTTGAGACGCTCGCGCTTGGAAGCTGGGTCGTCCATTGCGTGTCGCGCCGAAGCGTGGTGGGCCAGAACCAGCGGCGCGACACGCGAAGCAAAATATCCCGACCTAAATTGAGCCAGGCGGGTAGAAAAGGCCATGGGGCAACAACATGCGCACATGCTCGTGTTTAATTCCTAGATTCCTAGCCGTGCAGCAGCTGGCAAACGATCGCATTTGATGCTTCCTATCTCACCTGCCTCGCCCCTCTCACTCCCATGCCCTTCAACTGGAATTCCACGTCTTGAACCAGACCGCGGCAGCCATTCCAATCTCTGCATGCGCACATGCGCATGGGAATGGCATTCGCCCCCGTCAAACCATCGCTGCTGCCCCCCATCAAGGCGGAGAGTTGGGCGAGGCTCCCGCGAGCACCACTAGGACTGCCCGTGCGAGGCTTGGCGCCCGAGCCGCCCCGTTTCGCCCTCATCTCGGCACGCAGGGCAGACCGCTTTGCCTGCAAAACTTCGCGTACTGCAGATCCCCCGCGATGCGCGCCCCACGCGCGCATTTCTTTCCTGAGACCGGGCCGACATGGCTATCCAACAGCACGTGCACACACGCTATCCGATGGCAAGCTCCCCTCACCCAATACGCCTCAAATTGGCATTCATCCGAAATCTTCAAGTTCGCGGTGAGAGACTGCTCCAGATGCGTCAGAAGAATCATCCATGTAGCGCTCCTGCTTCATCTTGCTTTCCTCGCTCTTCGGGAAGGTCCGAATCTCGGCATCTATGAGGTTGCTCTTGGCGGCCCCGAAATCCTTCACCAGCAAGCGAAGCACCTTCGCCCGGAACAGTGGGTGGTCGTTGAGCTCCACGTTGACTGTGTCGCAGATCGTCTGACTCCCGAGGGGGTAGCTCTCGCTGTCCGGAACATGGCTGCGACGAGACCTGCCCTCGGCTCTGCCAATCGTCCGACTCCGCCTTCCCAGGGGACTTGAACTCCTCGTAGTCGCTCCAAGCTGGATTGCGGAAGGTCAGCGCCGCCGCCTCGCCTCCATCCGGAGCTGGAATCACTTCGCCCTTCAGAAACTTTTTGTAGACCACGTCCAGGGACCTCAGCATTCGGGACGCCTCGTCCTCCACCGCCGCCTTTGCTCGAATTGAGATGAAGCCTGAGCCCTTGCACCATGTCAGGTGCACACTGATGCGAACCTGCGGGCCGTCGTAGTTTGCCGGCGTTTCCACTGTGGTCGTCGCGTGGCACTTCCCAGCGGTATTCGCGATGTCCGAGGGGCCGGAAGCAAGGCCTTCGATGAAACTTCGCACCTCCACCTCGCTCAGAGTAGTTGCGTACTTGGCCATGCCTCCGAGAGTCTTGCAGAAAGAGGGCCGCCGTGGAAGAATCCGATCGCGCTTGAGCCGATAGGAGCCTTCTACGTTCCCGTTCCCGAGCAGCAGCAGCAAGCACTGTAGGCTCATCCGCAAGTTGATATTCCCCCGTCACCATAGTGGCTCGTATTAGATCAGCCGCCTCCGCCTTGCCCCTAATAAAAAGGTCAGCTAGCTGCAAGGTTGTAGGTGTCCATCTTACCGTAGATCCCATGCGATTTAGGTTTTCTCTGAGAATCACGAGGTCGACTGATACTCGCTCGTTTGTTGCCGCACCTGCGCTGCAACGCGACACCATATGATCGCACAGAGATTTGCAATCAGATACAGCTATGGGACCTAACCGAGGGAGAAACTCACACCGAGCTTCCAAAGATAAATTTTGGCCCAGGCCGCTCCACATGACCAAGAACGCCCATCTGTACTTGAGCTTCAGCAGCTAGAGTAGAAGCCGTAACTCGACGAAGACGGTAGCTACGCTAGCACAGTGGACTCCATGGCGCAAGCATGTTTTGGATCATTGTTTCGCCAGTAGCTGCAATATCATAGCCTGCTTGAGTACCCGAATTAGCAGCATTTTGATTTGACGCATCAGCATGAGCAACCAATCGAAGTCAATCTAGCGGCATATGTCGCACTCGCCATCGCATCGAACTGAACTGCCTCGCTCTTCGGGCGAGATTATTAGCGGTCGGATCTGCCCGACCGTCGGTTGCGGCAGAATCTGCCCCCCCCCCCCCCCGGACACTTGCGCCGCGATATCTGGACGGGGCGCCCGAGCCAGCCAGATTCCAGCACCCAGCATCGTTCGGGCATCTGAAATCTCTCGCCTGGCAGCGGGAATTTCGGGCGAACGTCGAGGTCGCACACCTGCGGGCTTCATCGCGGTGGCGAAACCTTGCTGAGAAATAATCAGATCGAACGTCTAGGGATCCTGCCACAGCGAGGGACCGC